AAACAAGGGGTCAAAAGTACATATCTAGATAGAGCTGGTATTAGGGCGTAGCCGCTTTTGTAAACAATGACTTCTATCGATGATTTCTAGGAATTCAAGGCACGTCCACGTAGACCAACCTAACCACCGGATAGGGGAAGTCTTTCCCTACCCGATGAGGCTGTTAGTTTGCGTGGGCGAGCCTTGAATTTCTAGAAATCATCAAGAGAAGTCATTGTTTACAAAAGCTGTTAGGCCCTAATTCCAGCTCTATCTAGATATGGAAAAATCAGCTGGTTTGACACAAAGGAGTCAACAGTAAACATCAGAAGAAATATCATGGAAACCAAGCGTTATATATGTTCCAAGGTGGGATTGGTGAGAGCGAAATCGAAAGCAAAATTTGAAAACGACGAAATGAGCCTAAATGTAGAAAAACTTCGCAATAAGTAAAGTCAATTTTCATTGAACTTTTGCTCGCCTTGCTGCCAGCCACATCACCCCCAAAGGTCTGTGATAATGTACCCAGCAACCAAACGTTTGTGGTCAAATGCGTAACAGTATTGAAGTGGTAGGTACATACAAATTCTCGCAATGACCTTGTCCCCCTCGTTTTCTGATGACAAAATTAAGCTTTTTCGTGCACAAAACGCACAGAATGTTTGGTTTATTCAATAGATTTTCCATTCGAGATTGCTATTTTCTAGCGTCCTGGCGGAAACCTTACCTTAATTCAAAGTGTTTCTGGTTCTCCCACCAGAAATACTTTGAATTAAGGTAAGGTTTCCTCCAGGACGCTAGAAAATAGTAATCTCGAATGGAAAATCTATTGAATAAACCAAAAAATATGTGCGTTTTGTGCACGGAAAAGTGTAATTTTGTCATCAGAAAACTAGGGGAAAAAGTGGTTTCCCTAACACAGTCGCCGAATCTTGATACCGAGCACGTAATTTTACGACAACTATAAGTCACTATTTCAGGGTGTCGTCTACCTGGAAAAACCTGGAAAGTCAGGGAATGTCAGGGAATTCTATTTATGATCTGGAAAGTCAGGGAATGTCAGGGAATTTTAATGTAGGTCAGGGAAAAAAAATAATGTTGATCACATTGCAAAAAATCATGTGTGGGACACATAAAACAATCTTTGAAATTTTATCAGTGCATGACGTCAAAGTTTTTGGGAAGATCCCGGGCATCAGATCTACTCGCTGCGTTTATGGACGCCCTTGCCGGTATCTCTTCGAACAAGTTGCTGCAAGTGTCCATGGATGGGCTCAATGTGAATTGAAGCTAGAGGTACAAAAAGGTGGCGAGAAGCTGATAGATCTGGGAAGCTGTGGGCTGTATATTTTGCATAATACATTCATTGTTGTCAAATATTTGCGTGGTATCTATAATATCTTCAAAGATGTACCAGCAAGACGAGCGTTTATCACGATGTATTCTGGATCTACCATATTCCCGCTAAAGTTTTGCGGTCACCGATGGTTGGAAAATAGTGCTGCTGTTCAGAGGGCAATCAAAATTACTCCGCAAATACGAAAATTTATTCAAGGCGTCCAGAAAGACAAAATTGAACCAACGTCAGCTTCCTATCAAGATGTTAAAAACTGTTTGAATGTCTCGCTGCTGATGGCTAATAGTACGTTCAGACTACAGATTTATAACATGTTATAGCACTATCTTGATGGTGGTTTCTGTATTGCAATTATTTGACAACCGTTATAACATGTTATAACTCTGTAGTCTGAACGTGAATTCAATGCGAATTTCAGATGGACAACCCTATGGTGCCTTTTTTGTGCAACGCAATGTCTCAAATGGTTAGAGGCGTTATGGAAAGGTTCATTAATATTGACCATCTGAACGGTATACATTCCCCCTGAACGACGTCTCGACTGTAGCATAATGCAACTTCATATGGATGCTGTAGAATTTGCTTCTTCTATGGCTAATTATTCGGATATGATTCTTATGCTCGGTGATTTCAATCAACCTGGGCTTATCTGGTCGCACTCAGGTCAGGGATTTACATATCCAGATCCAATAGCATATGTTACTACTCCGGCCAGCCGCTTGCTTGTGGACGGTACTGGTTTTCATGGATTGAGGCAGATAAATCTAGTTCCCAACTTTCAGTCTCATTTCCTAGACTTGGTGTTCGTTAGTGAAAATTAACTTCTTGACTGTACTTTACTGAGGCGCCTGATGTCATCGTTCCTCTTGACAACTTTCATCCTGCTTTGGATATTTCTATCGCAAATAGATCTCAACTTCACTTTGATGAAACTTCGATTGTCTATCGTCTCAACTTCCGGAAGACTGATTTACGTTTGCTGCGACGTTCCTTGTCAGAGATAGACTGGAACGTGTTGAATGACCTGGAGATCGACATAGCTGTCGATCGCCATAATTGCTTTCTGCACGACTGTATTTCTGCTTCTTGACCAAACGGAATTTTTCAATTGCCAGTAACAACTATCGCCGCTACAACAAGCTTCTCTACCAGCGGTATGTAATTCGCACTGAACGCAATCTGCGAAGCAATCCTAGGGGATTCTGGTCGTTCGTAAATACTAAAAGAAAGGAAACTGGTCTCCCGTCGAAGGTGTTTCTGGGCAACGACGTAGCATTGACAACTGAGGATAAATGCAGGCTTTTTGCAAGGCACTTCTCGAGCGTTTTCTTGACCGACTCACCATCGCAAGCTGAAATCAATCTAGCAGTCCGTGATGTGCCAACCGATGTCGTAAACATGGATGTTTTTACTGTGGATGTTGAAATGGTCCTCTCTACGATAAGGAAAACTAAATCTTCTTTTTCACCCGGACCGAGCGTTATGCCATCTGCTGTGCTGAAAAAATGCTGTGATATCTTAGCCGCCCCGATGACCCTGCTTTTTAATCTATCGCTCCATCACCGTAATAGCAACAATCAATACGAAACTAACGATTTTAAATTGGCTCACTACTTGACTAGCCTATTGGTCCCAAGCAAACGATTAACGTATCCCATTCTAGTCGAAATTCTAGTACTACGCAATGTTTGTTTTGATTCGCTATGAAAGTTTGACAGATAATATGAGGGGTTATTGGTTTTTCCTATGTTTCGAGGGGTGAATCGATTAGCTTGGGACCGAAGAGAGTACCAGAGCTGAGCCAAAAGTTGAGCACGTTATTTCGGGACCTTCTAGTCTTAGAGTTACCTCTATGGTAATAGTACGTTCAGACTACAGAGTTATAACATGTTATAGCGCTATCTTGATGGTGGTTTCTGTGTTGCAATTATTTGACAACCGTTATAACATGTTATAACTCTCCAGTCTGGACAGCGCTTAAGTTTCCCACGCTTTGGAAATGCTCTACTATGTTCCCTGTTTTCAAGAAAGGAGACAAATGCAATGTGGAAAACTACCGTGGGATTACCTTGCTCGGGGTCGAATCTAAAGTGTTCGAGTCACTGGTCAATGAGAGATTGTTTGGTTCCTGCAAAACTACATTCGAGTGCGGTTAGGCATCTTGATGTCATTTGTGACACCGTTTCCGTTCCGCTTCCGCCCACATTGCGTTTGGGCCTTCAGTCGTAGCGCGACGTCAGATCTATGATGGTGTTACTCATGCAAGCGGGTTCGAAAACTTACAAATTTTGAATGAACTTATTCAGCGAGTTCGAAAAATCGCATTCGCTTTCCATGTAGACAAAGATCGTCGTTCGCAGGAGAAAATTGTTCTGCTCAAATGATAAACATTTTTAAAAGTAATCCGAAAATAAACACATATTCAACTTGCAATTTCTCGTTGTAATGTGAACTCACTGAGAGAATAAAATGTTAATGATAATTAAACTTAATATATTTTACCATGTCTGCGGTTGTCATATGGAATTCCAGAGAGTACGAAACTGACTAATGCATGAGCAGTGCATCCTCAGGTTCGGTTGCTAAAGCAAGAATAATCACTGCTCTGTTATTTTACAAAAAAAAAAATATATGTAAAGAGAAAGGATCGTCTACGGGTTGATTTTTATTTGGCTGTGAAATTATGAACACAAATTGAGAGCTTGGTGACATTGATTAAATATTCCTATTATTACTTTTTTTTGTTGGGGGGAGTTGAACCACTGCGTCCATTATTTGATCTTTTGTGGTGCCCCTTACTTAGTAATGAATAGGGAGTCTAGTTGTGAGCAGTAGTTATTCATTATTATATTATAATATGTATCTATAGCCCTAGGTCTATTCACATCCTTCGTAGGTAGTCGGTCATATAGTCTGTAAAAATTGTATTAGTATCAAGTTCTGTTGTAAGTGCCATGAGTATGCTATTCTTGATATTTTCGAAAACTTACCCTGCTGCTCATTTTAAACTAACCTTAATTTACGCTACGGTATAATAAAGCACATCACGTTGTAGCTTCTTAGGTTAAAATAACGAAGTTTTGTGGACTGGAATTTTTCTGAAAACCGACTGGAAAGTCAGGGAACTTTATTTTCGACTTTGAGTCGACACCCTGTATTTGGGCATCTATTTCTTCAACATGGTCACTAAAACCACTGTTTTTGACAGCAGTGATCGCTACCAACCCTGAAATTGACAAGCATAGGTACACTCTAAAATAGAACCATTCAAATTGTTGATAAATTATCTCCGACTGACAGTTCATAAAGCGTATTAACATCTATTAACACAAGGAAAACAGGAATCAGTTGTCAACTGAACTATTTGACATGGCCGTACTGTTTCCACAGTTTTCAACAGCCTGCTAAAAGTGTGAATCAGCTAAGAAGGCCTGCTGAGTCACGCTCATCAAACGACAATTTTCTTTGAAAGCCAAGCTACCCGGTAGATCTTTAGTGAAAGGACTGATTGGTTGCGTTTAGCGTCAGCATTTAAGAGATAAGCCCTGTAGAAATTATTCAAATCCCCGCAGCAAGTTACACTGCAAAAGTTCCACGTCAACCCCACGAACAATATAATTAGTTATGAATGCGCTGATGACTATATTTCGAACCATTTAAACAGATCGCGACCGTGACATCGAACTGGCTACGGCTGCCATCCGGAAAGAGCTGGGACAATCACAATCCCGGGAAGCACAGCTGAAGGGAGACATCCGACAATTGCAACAGCAACTGGCCGATGCCAAAAACGGGCTCTTGGCAGCAGCAAGAATCTCCGACCAGCTGGAAATTGCCCAGGTCACCGTTGCTTCGCTCAAGGAAGAATGTAAGTAGTGTTCGGAAAAATTAGGCTAGATCAATCTCTTCTATCTATTTGTTTGTCATTTCCGGCATGATCTGTCTATTCCCGACAGAGCACGTTTCTGCTAACCTTTTCCTCTAGATGGCACTAATAACCTTGCGCTCCCCCTGTACCCTCCGATTGTTTTATGGGCATGTTGTTTAGATAAAGTAACGCTCTCTTCCCTGATCCTATCAATTAGCTCGCTTATCAACTACACTGTAGCGCGTTATCACCTTTTCTGTGTCTGTCAATTAAAAACTCAAATTACTTAAATAATCACTCAAAATTTGAAGCGGAAGGTAACACGGAGCAGATAGAGCACAAATTGATTGATTCCATTATCAGCATTTGTCACCGGCAACGAGGGGTGCCACAACGGGTACTAACAACGCCATCAATTATTAACCACCACCACCACCAGCAAGGAAAGGAACAGCGACAACGCGCACGCCATTTTAAAACCAATGCACCTTCACCTTAAAAATAAATTCAAATCACACACACACACATGCATCGAAATGGGAAACAGGAGTTTGTTCGATTGAAAGGTCAATATCAGCTGGTAATTCTGGGCTTCTAAAAACATTGTTCGCTTCCCGGGATTCCAACTGATATCCACTTTTTAGTCGAGATGGTCAAAATTTCGTCACCATTAATACCTTGGTTTTTGTTTGTGAGTTTATTTTTTTTTCTGTGTGTGTGAGAGTGAGACAACGACAGTGACGACAAAAAGGCGGTTAAAGTGTTTCCAAAACTGAAGTGATAACAAGGAAAAAAAATGAAAGGTGTTACGTTCAAAATTGAGTAGGCTTTGGCAATTTGCACACATCAGTTGGTCATTTCATCACATTCAGACAGGCAGGCAGTAGGCGGCGACGGACGACAACGCTAAACCGTTGCCAAACAACGCCGCGCATCGTCCGAATGTAGAATGTCATTGTTCAAATTCACACCTACGCACACACACACACATGCACATGCACACGTACGCATATTATTCACCAGCATTTCACCAGCACGCACTTGAAGACACGCACCGCCCCGCTTTGGATCATTTGGCATATGTAGGATAAATAAGGAGTAATGAATAAATGCTTATTGGCGGTTTGTTGTTTGGTTGCTTATTGATGGTTGTATGCCTCTAAATGGTCATTCTAAATCGCAGGCGGCCGCATCAAAAGTCCGACATGCGTAATGGTTTCCATAGTTATAGAAGGCATGTTTTCGAGCATTTTTTTTTAGGGTGACTCATTCCGGTAGCAAGATTTGCTGGGTTTCAACGGAACCGAGCAGAGCAGTTCCACGCCAACTGACGAATCTAGTTAAATTTTTCCGCTCTCCGAATTCCATGACCAAGTTTGTGCCGCACCCAATTTTTCAAAATGACGTATTCGATATTTTTCAATAAATCATAGCACGAAAGCGACTCCTCGAATCGTAATGACGTCTGAGATCAAAGTTGTAGGAAACTTGATTGACTTTTCAGAAAAAGGTACTAACTTTTTAAAGTCAATTTAAAATTGTCCAAAATTCAGCGACAACTTCAAACTATTGGTACAAATTTTGAACGCCTAGCGAACAATTCAGTGTCGAAGGGGCGTTATTGCTTTTGTAAACAAAGGCTTTAGCCGTCGATTTCTCGTGAATAAAAGGTCACACATGAAAATTAATGACACCATTCGCGGCTAAAGCCTTTGTTTACAAAAGCAATTACGCCCATTTGAAATGTGAGCACTGAATTATGCGAAGTTTTATGGAATTCCGAGAGGTTAAGTCTTACACTTTCTTTATTTTTTCGCTCTTTGGCCTGGAACTGCTCCGCAGTGATGACGAAACTCATTACGGATTCTACTGTGGCACCGATTCTAACTGCCACACTAATATCGATCGGACTTCGAACTTGTGCTGCAATCGCTACATACATGCAATGCACTCATTATTCAGCAAATACACACCGACACACTCGCTCGATCCATTTTACCTTAATTCCGAATTCATCAAGCTGAAAGCCATCGCCATCGGTGTCACCGAATCAAATACCCCCCCCCCCCCCCACCCCTTCATTCTGCCCGCAATACAATGTGTAACGTAATGTGAATAATCATTTACCGCTTGAAAGCAAAAGTTTTCGATGGCACGGCTTCGGTTCGATCGAATCGAGTATTTCAATCGATTAATAGAGGAAGTTACTTCGCTTGCAATGCTTGTTTGTCACCGGTTGTTGTTTGTCTTCCTAGAAGTTCGGTGCAGTTTTCCGTCAGTGTGGGCATTTAGTATATTAGAATTTGTGTCTACAGAAAGTGCTGTGAACTTTTTTTTTTGTTTGACGTTGTCTTTGCTTGTTGTGGTTGTAGAATTTTACGAGTGTAACGTGCGCGTGTGTTTACTTTCAAGCTAAACCAAAAATAGAGCAACGCTTCATTGCTATGCGCGAAGGGCGAACGTGACGGGAATAGGCTACAAGGATGACCGTCGTCAGATCGAGAGCAGTTAGATAGTGGCGGTTATTTGGAGCGGTGCAAATTGAGTGTCGATAATACCTAGATGTGGATGGTGATAGTCTTCAGAGATAGTCTCACGTCGTGCCATCAATGGGGCGAAGGGACAAGAGGATGTCCTCAATTTGTTTAAATCAAATAAGGGTATGTCCATGTACCCCATGGACAGACTAAAGGGGCGGTGTTGGTTTAGTTGGTGTCCACAATGCCGCTGTTTTCATAACACTTCAATGAGAATTGAAAACCCGTAGGATATGGGACTGTTATGTGAATAGTGGCAGCACAGTCTATACATATTGTTAAACCATTATATGGATGATCGATCAAGAGGGGGGAAAGGCAGGCTTGATGGAGCCTCGCTCGCGAGTTTGAAATGAGCCGAGGAGTAGAATGCCTACTGCCAAATCATTCCACTGAGCTTCAGAGCTTGTGAGCGAAGTGGATAAAATGAAAGTGAGGTTTGCTGTCATTCATGTTCATATTTTCTATCACACGCTCTTAAGCTGGGTCTAGACACGGCAAGTCAATTGATCAAGTCAGTTGAATTCAACTGACTTGAACGCGAATTGAACGTGTAAACCATGCCATTCAACTGACTTGATCAACTCACTTGAATTGAAAAAAGTTGAACCAGGCTCAACTTTTCAAGCCAATTGAATTCAACTGAGTTGATCATTTGACTTGCCTAGTCTAAACCCAGCATTACTCTCACTCTGGGTGAACTCTGAGCTTCTTGCGTCGAACAAAAAAGTCATCCGGAGTCTCAAAAAGCGCACCTCACGTCAAATCATCCTTTCCTTGAAGTTCATTCTCCCTCTCTCTCGAGGAGTTTTTGTTTACTTCTTCCATATTCCTGCCGCCGCTCACTCGAGGTGAGGGCTGGCTAAACTCGCAGGACAAGAGTGTTTTAAAACCTCCAGTGAGTTTGAGGAGTTTCAGCAAGCCTGGGGAAAGGTAGTTGCCTCTCGCAAACTATCATCATACCCAGGTAACATTTCTGGTTTCATGAGGGTTCTATTGACTTATAGAAAGCTTTACAACCTCGATAGTGCTCGCAATATTGCTTGGGTAGTTTGATGACAGCCCTTTTTAGATCATTCTATTTTGACGTCTTTGTTGAAGGTATCGAGTACCATTTCATCGCACCAGCGTCACGAAGTTATGTAAGGTTTTAAATGCTAATAACCTGGCGTTTTATGGATGGATTTACATTGTTTGTGTACCATTTGAATCAGATTTGATGTAAGATTTTTTGAGAATTAAAGTTATAATGGTTTATCAATAGTAAACTACTGATATTTTATCAAACTTGCTTGTTTGCCGAACCTATAGCATATAGTGAATCCCTAACACAGACTTCAAATTATATATTAACTTCACGAAGATTGCAAGAACTTTATAGATGTTGTCACAATTTCAGTTCTGAGTTTAAAGCTCTCATTCAATTCAGTTTCTGGTATCCTTCTGTGCGTTTTTATCCTGATCGAAATTCCAATCGCGTTCCTGGTTGCTGGAAAAGTTTAAGTAATGTGGTTGAGGTGGTTCAAATGTCGTGATTCAATCCGGCGTCTTTAATGGACGGATCGTTTCTCAAAGCATCCCGGATACTAGATGACATTCGAAATAGGTCCCGGATGCCCCGAAAGCAGGGACAGTTGATCACTATGTGCTCCACCGTCATTGTGACTCCACAAGTGTCACATTTCTTTCGGAAGGTGGGTGACGAGACAGGACACGTTGGTCCCGCCAGTTTGGAACATCTGTCCATCTTGTTGTTTTCCCCTTAAGCTTGCTGATAATTGACTCTGTTCTGGAAGCCCACTCACTAGCCCAAGCTTCGCGAAGTATCGATCGCTACGGCCGCTGGTAGCGATATTTCAATATTTCCGCTGATTCCACAGCAAAATAGTCCCAAAGCCGTATTTAGGCAGACACAAATGTTTGCGCTCAAACCGTCAGTTTTAGGTATATGTATAGTGTCTTCGGGAAAATTTCTTCATATTTTTTGGCCGATCTTTTTATGTTAGTGAAACTAGGGTGGTTCATAAAATTTGTGAATTTAAAATTCAAACTTTTTCTTTTATTTGAGATAGACCAATGCAGTGTTGTAAAAAGGTGTAGAACAATCAATTTAAAGCAACTTCGCTCAACACACCAAATTTCTATCTCTTATGGTTCATGAGTTATGATTATTTTAAACAAGCAGGTTAGAGTGGTCTGTATTTTCAATTTACCAATTTTATGGTCCACCCTAGTTTCACTAACACAAAAAGATTGACCTTGTTCTAGACACGTTTTAGAACTTTTGATGGCGCATATTTTTGCTTAAGATACCATATTTCTATCTCTTATGGTTCATGAGTTATGATTTTCTTAATCAAGCAGGTTAGGGTGGCCTCTAGAAAATCGGCTTTCTTTAAATATCTTTTTATACGTTCATTCCTCGTATTTCGTTTTATTGTTCTAGACACTTTTAGAACTTTT